TATTAAATTTTAATATATGTCTTCCAACATATTATTAAGATCTAATAAGATGCTATAGGCATCAAAAAGTGGTTAAATTGATTCTCAATTTAACTAAAGTGATATTACTGCGGTAGTGAATATGTATGCGTCAATGCTGAAAATCCATCAGCGTCGCGGGGGGACTACATACGCAGTATATAAATTTCACACAATATAATAAACATTAACATCTTGTTTTCAAGACTCGATTAGGCTTTACACATTACACTTTCCTCGATTTTTAAATCATACGAGTCAATTATTATTATCTTTCATTATATAAATGATTAATTCAAAAACTCGTGATTATTAAACTGGATATATTTCCGGATATTTCAAGATGCTTTGTTTAGGATAGGTAGAAGCTCTATTGAGAGAAAATGTAGTTAAGGATTTCCGATCGTTTTGATGGAGGGAACGCGCCGCGGAAGATAATTCTCCGACGAACCCGATGGAGGCAGAAGATACGCGACGTTCAACTAGAGGTATAATTCGAGAGTGGCTGTCCCCAGCGAATACCGACGTATCCGCCAATCGATCTCGGTGGGCCAATCCCTCCATCGAGAGACAGGGGGTGAATCGAACCCCTCGTTCTTGCCAGGTTTGCCAAATTAAGTGGCAACTAGTTATAAGCCCGGTCAACCCCCGATGTATCAAGGAGCCACCCCTAAACGGGAGTATCCGGTTACAATGGTACGTGTCGCTCTGGAAGAAAAGGGAACGAAACGCGGGTAGAAGGGGATTATGACAAACTCGATCGGGACATTGTCCTGGAATTGACTGTTAGATATACGCGCTGCTCGTGAGAAAAGGGTTGAATAGATTCCATTTTGAAGCTATCTACGCGGAAAATCAGCATTATGACACGAAAGGATACACACGCGCGATAAAAGGGGTGGTTGAAACGGGGATGTTTGTCTAACGTCTCGGATGGCTGCGCGGTTTTGACAAGACCCGGATTAGTTTCCAACACGGTGAACATCAGCAGTGAGATGAAACGAAGCATATGATTTTACGGTTTCGAAGCCATTATGGAAAATTACAGTATGAATGAGATAAATAACATGAATTTATTATATTATCAAAAATTTCTTATCAATTCTTTTATAAATATTTTAAAAATACAATGGAGATATATATACATTAAAGATACGTCATTGCTTTTAAATAGAAATTACTTAATTTGGCTTAAGAGATAGTAAAACTTTAATTAACACAAGTGAACTTAAATCAAAGCAATTATTCGTTTCTTTTTCTTAATTATAATAAAAGTAATAAGAAAGTTGACTAAGTTACTGTTACAATGAATCCTTGAATTGCTCTCGCGCCACGTTGAATTTAAATGATTTAAACAACATCCCAAACCGAAATATTTCGCCTTTAAGCCAACATTAAATATCTCACCCCTCGGGACCATCTCAAGGTTGTTATTTACCACTGACCAATCGAGACGCGGAAAAGCAGAGACAAACTCGTTGCTGCGTGCCTGGGGGACCACATTGGGGTCGCGGCACTTAACGGGTGATTAAGAGGGCAAATAGAGAGAGCAACCCCTTTCGAACAGACCATACTTTTGGGCCTACCCTTTCTCCTCCCCTTCTCTTGAAAGTCACCCCGTTACGTCCCCAGACATCGCCTCCAGGAGCGGCGTCGTGACGCTTAATCGGGTTATCCCCGTTTCGTAATCGCCTCCCGTCAACCCCCGGGGTTGCCATGGCGATCGCAGGCGGTCCTGAATCCCGATTGGCGGATCTGCACGCACGCGAAAACCCGGGCATCCCCTTCCGCACGCTGCATCCCCCAGGATGAGCCAGACGCTTCATCCCCGCCGTGAGCCAACCCTCTCTCGCTCCCTTTTTATCAGTCTGTCTCTTTCTCTCCCCTTTTCTCCACTCACACCAACGATACCTGGATTTACACTCAGTTTAACCGTTCCTCGCCCCTCGTAACTGTAATCTCTATCTCTCTCTTTCTCGGTAGCCTCCATCGACGCTAGTATTTCACGGATGCGCACGTTGTAAAAATCCTATAAAAGCTTCCAACACGTTCGACGATTTATTCCCTGATATATTACCGCGCGGAGTTTAATGCACGACGGTAACACGCGATTGGGAATTCACCCCTGTCGGTGTCATAGGCGTCGGGAATAAGCGGAGATCAACGAAAAAATGATTCGACGCAGGTTGGTTGTTATCTTAAATTCCCGTCGAAAATCTCATCTCTATGAAACCTTAACCGTTAATGAATTAATGAAACTGTTCGGAATCGGACACACGATGATAGAACTTTACTCGCAATGACCGACGACTGTCGACCGAGGTACGATATTTTTCTTTTTCTGCAGGAATATACCCCGGTACTTTAGTTCCAATCGGATCGCATTGAAGTACTTCCATCAAAGTGCATACTTCTCTACTTCTCCCGCATATTTGATCCCCCCTCAGTCATATTCGCCTGCTGATTGGCTACTTCTTCTGACCATCGTTTCGTCTCGTACTGCCAAGATTACACTTTATTCCCTCCACCGTGTACCTGGCTTTTATATACTACGTCCCTCTAAAGAGACGCGGATGAACCGTCGGATGGACACACAGTGCGTATGTACGACTGTCATGGGTACGCGCTACGCGTATAAGGTGTTCACCTGTCACTTAGGCGCGTTATTCCGGGAGCAGCTTCAATTACGTGCTTGGAAGGTAGGCACCAGCGAGAGAGCGTGCTCGGCCTTTATCCCGCGTTTGCCGCGGCCAGGTAAGCGAGGAGTCAAGTTAACGCGCAGGTAACGCGCAGGTAAACGCGGTCGGATGCGTACTCGTTATCTCGCGAGATCGACGGACACTTTTCCACTCGTCTGCATCACGTGGAGATGCGCGTTCATCGAAAGGTCCCTAACGCGCGGTGAAATTCCTCATCGAAATGGCGGCTTTGATCCGGCTCGAGACGCATGGACGTTGACCGTTGCTTTCGATACGATTGCCGTCTTATTTGCAAGTTATTCCGATACTTCTTGACTTCAAAATCATCGAACTTTTCTCCTTTGACGAATATGATATTCGTCGACTCACATTTTCGAAAAAATTAAATCTCTATCGTTCCATTATTATATGCTCAGTTTATCCGAAGATCTGATTATTTATTCTTAGACGGAAGAGGGGATTTCTCAAGAGATACAATAACCTCGCCATCTTGTATAAGTTACAATTTTATCCTCGCCGTAGAGTGAAGTCATAAATGAATGAAACACCAGCCGAAGGGGGTTAACAGGAAATAAATAATTCGCGCGTCAAAGGTAGAACCCAACAACTTGGAGAGGAATATTACCTACATATAGCCGGAATAGAATTCTGCAAATAGAATTTTCTAATTTTAACGCAGCAAATGTCAGAACTGCAATGCATCGTGAGTTCATTATGCATGCAAGTGCTGCCTATAACTGATCATCAATTACACAAATTAACGGTACAACAAAATTTTATAATTTTTCTTACACTCAACAATATTATGTATATTATGTGTTATATTACATTTATATTTTTGAGTGAAAAACGATTATATTAGATGTAATGTGCTACTGTTAGTTTGTGTTTTACCGGATAGCTATATATAGCTATTAAAGCTATATATAAAGTAACATGTATAAAATATACCGCAGTATGTGTGTGTATACATAGAAACTGTTACAAATAGTTGTCTATCTATGTAAATTACGCCCCGCGATATTCCCGATAAGATGTTCGTCTCAAAAGGAAATTAACTTTGGTATGAATTGC